TGCGGGGACACACTGAAGAATGTCCCTGAGATGTGTGAAGTCCCTTTTTAGCAGCTCTGAGCCATTTGTCATTCCATGATGAGTGTCATTTATACCAACATGTACAGGTACAATAATTCTGCATGTGCCTGGATGGTCCCATAACACTTGCAGCAGTGTTCAGACCATATTGCTAAGCTTAGCATTGGGTAGACAGACAGTTTTACCATCTCTTATTATACAGTCACCTACCAGCAAAGTCTTTGGTTTGATGTCTTCTCTGACTTGATAAGCTTCTTTTTTGGTTTTAAGCTTCTTTTTTGATTGTCCGGTGCACATTCCATTCCGATCCCGTCCTTTTTGATTATATGACATTAGCTTTAGCGGCCTGGATCTTGAGTACCTGGATCTTGGTTCCGGCGCCCTGAGTCGCATTGCTGGACTTGGTACTCCAGCACTGGTGGTGCTGTGATGGAGACTGATCACATCCTCGTGGGCAGACACTGGAGGCTCCTACAAAACTGCAGGGTCTACAGAAGTTTCCAGTTTGTCAATTCTGACTTACGACTTCTTCCTACTCTGAAGATGCAGCTTAGGTCCAGTAGGTTACCACCTACTAGGAGAATGAGGCTGGACCTGGCCAGACATCAAGCTCAAGCTGTTTCTAATGAGTTTGGACACAGTTTGTGTGAGGAAGTTGCAGACTTGGGTGTGACTGTCGATTCTAACGTGATGGGGGAGACCTTCCTTGACAAGACCCTGAAGGTTGCTGAGGGTTGTGTTGGTGTTGCTGGTGTTTCTGCATCTACATGCTTTTTAGACTTAAGTGCATCAGAGAAATCAACTTTTTACTCTGTAATTCCCCCACCCCTGGCCTGAATCGTTTGATTTCTATTGTTAGCTTTTCCATACCCTTTGTTCGGTGTTCCCGTATTGAAGAATTTGGTATATATTTTGTATATACTATATGCCCCATATTCTCAAAACATGTGATCGATCCCTCTCCAGCAAATTTTATCCTCAGGACCCCCCCTCCCACTTCAGCTAACTCCTTTCACTCCAAAGCACCAGCTGCCTCAATTTGAAGGTTTCTTCAGGTCTCCAAATTCCTCACCCTGTTACCGAGAGCGAATATGGCAGTCCAGCAGAGGAACTTAATCTCAGCAACCTTGTTCTTTGTCATTGCCCACAGCTCCCGACCAGAGTTGATGACGGAAGTGGAGGATGACCAGCAATCTCCCCACCACAGACGTTCTCGACACCTGCAAAACTACAGCGACCAAACTTTGACCTGGTTGTGTTGCAAGCGTGTTTGGGGGACAGTTCATGTTAAATTATGAAAGTGGTAAACCTGTGACATAAACCTGTTACACACATTTCAAACAAGCGTGCGTGGTATTCAGTACTTTTCAAAACATGTCATATTTTTGACAGTGTTCAAGTCTGTCAAGCAGCTATACCGCTGTGGAATGTGGATTTGCTAAACCTAGACTCACTTGTTTTTCCTGATTTAACCCTTCCTGTATTCCTAGATTCACAAGTGAGAAAGTTACTGAATGGAACATCATGATGTGTAATTGGGAAATATAATTTTTGTGGAAATGGAGGGTATAACAGAAGCCTTGTAAAAACTGCTACATGTCTAAACCTCGACATTTGGATTTCGTCGCTGTTTTTTCTTTTTGTATTTCATGCAGTTAGGTGACTTGGTATCTCCAACTTGCTTATAAGGCGTAAGTTTGCACACTGATAGACTGGTGTCCCATCTGGGGTGTCCACTGGTTTGGATCTGAGACAGGCCTGAGGTTCACTGGGACCCTGCATTAAATATGTGCGTATGGAAGTTAGATGGATACATTTTAATGTCATAGGGATAAATAAAAATATGCTTTACATGTTATCTTAAAAATTAATTAAATCTTTACTAAGAGGATCATATGGTGAAGACTGAGGATAGATTGTGAAACATTATGGACATGTTTTGATACATTATATGGCAGAACATAATACTGAAGAAAAACACTCTAGGTATGAACGGGTGAAATTTTATTGTATGCATGAATCAATAACTTTTTAATTTGTTATATTTTTATTTTGTTTTTATAAGAGGTTTAAGCATGAAGTTCAGGAGAATCCTTGTTCTCTTTCTTGTTTTTCTCTTCATTTTTCATGTTTGTTTCAATGTCTATGTCAAGTACAACAGCTCAAACCAACACTCAAACAAACTCACAGCTCCTCCACCCATGCAGATAACAGACAGCAGTACCCAGATCATTGTCCTGGTCTGGCTTTCGATATTTCGCCCATATCATAAGCTTCAGTCCTGCGCTGCTCTGTTTAACATCACTAACTGCCTCATAACGACAGACAGGAAAGTGTATAGCAAAGCTCATGGGCTCGTCATTCATCACAGAGACATCAGAAATGATCTATCCAATCTGCCTTCAATGGTGCGACCGCCCTTCCAGAAATGGGTTTGGATGAACTTTGAATCGCCATCTAACTCTAAGAGAATTCCAGGTATCAACAA